TGTAGACAGCATTTTGTCCCTTCATGGAGGTGGATTAACTACACCGAAGAGAGAAGCTCTGTAGTGCTGTATGTGAAAACAAGCCATTTTCTCTAAGATGGTAGCACTTACATGGTAAATTTGGGGTGGTTTTCTCCTCTCTCTATCATCAGGCCCACAGAAGCTATGGGCATTGTGTTGGCATTACTTTCAGCCTTGAATCCTCAAGGATCTGAAAAGGCCAAATAAGGAATAAAGGCCACCCCATCTAGTCTTCACATAAAAGGATGATGAGTGTGATGTGGAGGCTTAGGGAAGAAGAATGGAAGACTCTTCCATCTTGTGAGGGATTCCATGGACCCACATGACAGAAAAATATTTCAAAAGACTGTGATCTGAGTCCAACTCAGCAGAAGACAGTTTTCATACCTTCAAAATGCTAGGTTAGAAGTTGTCCGTCAGAAATAAGAACTCAGCCAGCCCCAGAATTATCCCCTCAAATGTTAGCATTTGGAATGCAACACTGAAGGGGATGGAGCCCTTGAAGCAGATGTATACATGTGGAGTATCCCCTCCCCAATAACACACTCGTTTTCAATAATTTTTCCAAAACTTAGTTCAACTCAACCTTTTTAGTAGCCCCGTTGATAAGGGGCTAAGTATGGAGCCAGACTTCCCAAATGTCAGTTGTGTAGAGGAATTACTTCCCAAATGTCAGTTGTATAGTAATGCCAATGGACTGTGCAGTCAAAGGTGAACTGTCCTGAAAAACTGAGTGATGCAGTGTGGAGGGCAAAGAGATCATCTGAATGAATTATCCTCTAATAGGCAGCTTTAGAACTTGCCACCAAAGCCCTGGTGGTTATATTTATGCAGAATTTTTTTCCTGCTAAATCTTCACAAGCTGTTGCAGGCAGATCAGAAGGTCATATATACTTCTGTTCATTTCCTAAATTACTACAAGTGGCTTAAGAGAACCAGCAAAGCTTGTCTTTCTTGATCTGCCAATGACTTCCATGCAGCTTCTTAACAAGGAAAATCATGTGGAAAACGTAATTAACCATGGGGTTACATGAAAACTCATTATTTAGATATACCTATATATGCTATTCCTTTCTATTAAAACTTTATTTTAGTCTGCAACACTTTTCAGGAATGTGATTTCTGGATTAACAAGCACATAAAAATAGGTTGGAGGAAGGAGTCTGAATGGGATAGTTCTGCAACTCTATGGAAAGAAATAATTAAGATGCTAAAAAACTGCTGGGTTGGGACACATCCTCCTCAAATGTACCCATCTAATCAGTCTAGTATTTCTAATGTGCCTATCACCATGGTATCAGACATGGATGTTTCACGTTTGCAATTTTCTATCTATTTAGGTATTTCTATGGCCCCAATTGTCATAGTATCTGAGAACCTCATAAATATTAATGAATTTATCTGCACAATACCCCTGTGAAACAAAGTGTTATCCCATATTTACAGATGAGGAACGGGGTTACAGAGAGGTTAGTTCTCTAATTCAGTAAGGTACTTAAGAATGTGCTTACCTTTTAAGCATGCGAGTAATCCCATTGACTTCTCATATGCTTAAAGTAAGGCACATGCGTAAGAACCTTGCTGAATCAAGGATTAGATGATTTTCCCAATTTTTTTAATTTTTATGAAGGTTATAACCTTTTATTACTCTTCAGTACAATAAACATATACTCTTGCCAAGTTAATAAAAATCAAGTGCTAATATATTGTGAAGGAAAATGGCAGATACATTTTCCACTGGAATAATTTGATATAAGTTTCCTGTACTTATTGAAACAATTGAAAAAGCAGAGAGGCTCCATGAAAAGTTCTTCTTTAGAGAGGCTGCTATTGCTTGTATTTGTACTCCCACTCATGATTTTTACTAAACAACTACTAGTCCTCTTCTACTGAAATTTGGTGCTTTAAAAATGTAAATCACACTATTTTATTTATTTAATTTATATTTATATATACTGTTACAATATTTGTAAATTAAATATACTTGTGTACAAATTAAAAATAAACCGTGCTGAAACACAATACAAATATTTTCAATTCAAAATGTGACTTGGCTAAGGGGAAAGAACCAACAAAATGTCACCTATGGCAAAAAAGGGACATTACTATTAATACTATGTACTATGGGTGAAATCCAAACCATATTGGAGGCCATGAGGATTTCAACCAATATATGGTCCATTTCAGTAGAGAATGATTAATATAAAGTATTTTGAATTGGTGTAACTGTTTTAATTTCAACTAAAACATAATTCAGATTAAACTAGACATAACAGTATAAAGTCAAAATCATATTAGGAAGGCTGAGGTGATCTGTTGTGGCTCGCATATTTTAGCGCTTTTCATTCTTTACTCTAATAACCTTGTAGTTTAAGCTTGTTGAAAGAACCAAGCTTAAAATAAGTAGCTAATAAAGCCACGTAATGTTAAGTGAATATTACAAATATCTGGCTACGGTAATAGTAAAAAAAACCCCTATGCTTTCAGAAAATATATATCTTTCCTAGGTTTTACTTCACTAGACAGCTACATTTACTGGTTTTAAAAGTCTGTTATAACACGTCTCATAGTAGACTTATTACACTTTGATTCCCAACTATGCTACGCTCAGTATAGGTGCCCACACTTTCATAGTGTCACCATTTTATAATTCTTGTCCTCTGAGCATGGTATAAAGAGATACAATATATTTTCTGAAGTAAAGTAAGTATATAATATACAATAGTAAATACCTGACCCTCAAGTGTAAGATACGGTTCCCTTAGAAAACAGTATGAATTCCTTATATTAGAAGGGAATGAAGTAAATTAATTTTTTTAAAACCCAACAGTGAGACATTATCTCCACATGCCAGCTATGAGAATTTGTATTCTTTATATAGAAAAGTCCAAAAATAAAATTGCATGTTGTCTACAGCCAACTTTTGCTGTTTTCAGAATTAGAATACTACTTTTAAAATTAAGTTCTAAATAGACCAAGACTCCTTTTCTCTTTGTTTGACTCTGCACACAAAGACCAGAAAGTCTTGCATGCAAAGATGCACAGCTGAGTTAATTTAAATTGTATTTTTCCATAAAGTACTTGGAAACTGTACAATATTTCCCCCTTTCACAGACTTTAGTTAAGTCTTTCTTCCCATAGATAATGGTTGGCAGCAGTGCACAGTGCAGAGGTTGTGTGCTGCACTTCTGAACAAAGTCGTGAATTGAGCCATTGTTTTCACTAAGATAGCCTGCATTTTTCGCTGGACAGAGAGCAGGGTGTAAAAAAGGCACCTTGTGTGCAACTGTTGGCAAGGCTTGGAAGTGAATTAAAATCTCCACAAGGTCTGGGCAGTACAGCTCTGCTCGGTATTGAGCTCTTTGGAAGCACAGTTAGCTCAGACATTCCAATGTAGTGAGACAGCAGGAGGGACACAACTCAACTCTACAGTCGAACGGGGGAAAAAAGCCAACTCTTTCACAGAGATTAGTCTCTGTACTGAACTTTCATTCACAACGTGTGAGACACACAATGGCTCTGGACCAGCTTCTGCTCTACAAAGATTTGGAGAAGGCTCCGTTATCCAGTGATCTTGAGTCACTGGGTATTACCACTTAAACAGAATGAGTTGCCTGCCAGAGGTAAGCAAAACTAACAGGAAAGGCTGAAAACAAATCAACTGAAGATGCACGTCAACTGCTATGGTGTAGGAAATTTTGGGGAAAGTAACTCTCCTTTTGCGTTTGGTCTTTACCCAAATCCTTTCCTCCTTCCAAGCTCTGGTGTCATTTGAGCTTTACAAACCAAATCAAATGTAAAAATAACAGTTGAATGTATTTGCGTGATTATCTTAGTTAGCATTTTGGAAATCTCAAGCCCCAAATAGTTTGCTGTAGTGGCCTTGACACCCTAACCTCAGTATTTTAATTGATTTCAGCAGAGAAGTTCTGAGCTTGAGAGCCTTTGAAGATGCACCATAATTCAAGAGCAGGCAGGCTGCAGCTCTAAACGTGATGAAAGGCACCAGGATAGTAGCTATAGAACACTGTCCTATTGCTTAAAAAGCAAATGCGTTACAGCTGGGAGGGGGTGGAGTGTACTCCAGAGGTGTTTCTAACAATGTAAACTCTCCATCAGTGCACGTAGCACTGCATACAATGGCGCAAACTCTTTGGATGGGGGTATGTATTTAATATTGCATGTAACAATTTTAACATGGAACGGAAGGTCAATGTACCTAACGCCTCACAGCGGTACAGATAACCGGGGAGACTCTCCGGGGGAGGGGAGAAAGAGCTGTGTGGAAGGTTCAGCCACATCTTGTCCCCTGACTTCTGCGGGTGCCTCCCGCCCCGCCCCCCGCTTTATGCTTTTGGGTAGGTGCAATAACCTTCCTCCCTGCAGCGTGTGGGATTTGTGGGAGGGGAGGATCAGGAGCCCGCTGGTGGCGGCGGCACAAACATCCTGGCCCTGGACTGTGTCGGGGGGAAGGCGGGCTGCGGACCCTTCAGCGTTGGCGCGGTGACGTTCTCTCCTGCACGGTGTGTGGCCCCCCTGAGGAGATCGCTCTGGGGCTGGGGCGGCGGTGTAATCCCACTGTGCGCTACGCTGGGCAGCACTCGTTCCCCGGGGCAGAGCACGCAGGAGGAGGCGGCAGCAGTACCCAGCACTGGGCTGTTTGCCCTGGTGCGAATGACTCAAGGTGCTTCCCTGCTCTGTGGCCCTGCCGCGCTCACCTCAGGATGCCTGTGGCGGGCTCCCTTCTGGCTGGGGGAGAGGAGGGCTGGGCACGTTTCCTTGCCCGCCCAGCCGTCCTGCGGGGGGAACCCGGCCGTAGCCCCCTTCTCCCGCCGCCACCCCCCCCCCGGGCTGCGCGAGCCCCCGTTCTCCCCGCTGCGCCTCCTTCCGCCCAGCTGGGCGTTGCGAGCCCGGCAGGCCACCTCCCCCTCGGTCAGCGCGCGCTCCCGTCCGCCGGCTCGCTCAGCGGAGCCGTTGGGTTCGGGGGTTGACCTGACTCGGAGCCTGCCCTGCGCAGTCAGCCGGGGCGAGAGCCCTCGGGGCTGCTGCGGTGACCCGCCGCCCGGCCTCAGCTGCAGCGGCAGGAGGAAGAGGCTGGGGAGACGCTGAAAGTTGCCTCCTTCTACTTATCCCCAGCGGGTGAGGCGCTTCCACAGGCTCCTTGCCTGAGTTCCTGGGGCTGGGGTGGGTGGGCCTCCGGGTTGCCCAGAATCACCCCATAGGTTGCTTTGGGGTTTCGGGTGGTGAGAGAGCGCCCCCCCCCCCAGTCACCGAGCTACGGGGACATAGGTTCACACCTGATTGTGCACCCCAGCAACCTCATGGACGTCAGAGGGGTTGTACTAGGTCTGACATCCTTGCATTGGCTACACTTGCACCCTAGTTTGTCATCCCCTTTCCTCCCCATATATCAGTTCTCCATTAGGCTTGTGAAGATGATGATCCACACTAAAATGCAGTTTCTATGCATTCACATTGCAATATTTAGTTGTAAAATATCCCCTTTCTCTGCAGAGGATTTGAGGAAATGCATAGAGTGATTTTTTTTTTTTTTGGGTGTGGATTGTAACAAACTTGTTATAAATTACAACTGCGTCTAAAGTCCTCACTATCTTTCCCCTGAAGTTCTCCCTTTACAGCGTGGTTTATATCAGTAGTAAGTTTCATATTTCATTGCTTTAAACTTTCTGGCTAATCACATCTCAGTGGATTGTTCTGGGTGAGGTGCAACATCTGATCAACTACTAAGGTTTTAGGCTACGGGGGTGAAGTGGTCTCTCCCCAGCATTTTGGTGGTTTATAGTAATAAGCCCCGGTTCTCAGATGTTATAAAAGTTCATTCTAGGCTGAAACCTGGAAATCAAAGCAATGAAGTGTGTAAAAAAATTTTTTTTCACTGGTTCTGGCCTTGCCTTTGATATTTTTGAAAAAGTTTAGTTTTGTGAGTAACTTTGCATTCCCTACTAGTCCTATTGAAGTGTTTGCAGGATTGGAGCCAAAGTGTGCAAGACTTGCTGGTTCTCAGGTATACTGTAAACTCTGGGGAATGAGACTAGCATGGAAGCTTAGCCCTGGTCTACACTAGGACTTTGGGTCGAATTTAGCAGCGTTAAATCGATGTAAACCTGCACCTGTCCACACGATGAAGCCCTTTATTTCGACTTAAAGGGCTCTTAAAATCGATTTCTTTACTCCACCCCGACAAGTGGATTAGCGCTTAAATTGGCCTTGCCGGGTCAAATTTGGTGTACTGTGGACACAATTCGACGGTATTGGCCTCCGGGAGCTATCCCAGAGTGCTCCATTGTGACTGCTCTGGACAGCACTCTCAACTCAGATGCACGATTGTTTGCTGTTGCTCTGACGCGGGGGGGGGGGGGTGACTGACGACACGGCTTACAGGGAGTTAAAATCAACAAAGGGGATGGCTTTACATCAAGGAGTATTTCAGGCAGGACTTCACGGAGGGTTCCAATAAGAAATGGTGCACCTAAGTTATTGTTCTTATTGGAACAAGGAGCTTAGTCTGGCCTCTGATTGATACATGGCTAGATTTACCTCCCTGCACCTTCTCTATGAGTGACTGCAGTGTGACCTAGAGGAATGAGTCTAGACAGGGGGTGGTGTGGGGGTTTGCAGATGAGTACAAAACAAATCTGGTCTATTTCTTGTTTTGATCCACTCCATCTATCTTTTACATCTTTGGCTGGCAGCAGACGGTGCAGAAGGACTGCATGCCATCCACATCTCATGGCTGCTCGGCAGAAGGTGGTACAATAGGACTGCTAGCCATCCTCATGTCTTGCCTGCCCGGCAGCAGATGATGCAATAGCAATGCGTATCACCTGCCTGCTCACCATAAGATGGTTCAATAGGACTGACTGCAGGACTAAAGAGAATGACCTGATCAAGTCACTCCAGATTTAGTCCCTGCGCCCATGTCTGCCCAGACGCTCCTGATCGACCTCACAGAGGCGACCAGGAGCACCTCGGGCATGACGATGACGGCTACCAGTCCTATTGCATCGTCTGCTGCCACAAGGCAATGGGTTGCTGGTGCTGTGAAGCAAAGCAGTACTGCATCTGCCAGCACCCAGGAGACATACAGTGACAGTGAGCTGAGCGGGCTCCATGCTTGCCGTGGTATGGCGTCTGCACAGGTAACTCAGGAAAAAAGGTGCAAAACAATTGTCTGGCCTTGCTTTCACAGAGGGAGGGAGGGAACGGGTGCCTGACGATATGTACCCAGAACCACCCACGACAATGTTTTAGCCCCATCAGGCATTGGAATCTCAACCCAGAATTCCAATGGGCAACGGAGACTGCAGGAACTGTGGGATAGCTACCCACAGTGCAACACTCCAGAAGTTGACTCTAGTCTCGGTACTGTGGAAGCGCTCCGCCAAGTTAATGCACTTAATACACTTAGAGCATTTTCTGTGGGGACACACACACTCAAATATATAAAACCGATTTCTAAAAAACTGACTTCTATAAATTCGACCTAATTTCGTAGTGTAGACATACCCCTAGAGAGGAGCTATAAGAGTATCAGCAGGCTGAGTTGCTGCATTCTAAGGATAGTAGGATGGTAACTGAAATGATACAGGTTTCAGAGTAGCAGCCGTGTTAGTCTGTATTCGCAAAAAGAACAGGAGTACTTGTGGCACCTTAGAGACTAACAAATTTATTTGAGCATAAGCTTTCGTGAGCTACAGCATCCGATGAAGTGAGCTGTAGCTCACAAAAGCTTATGCTCAAATAAATTCGTTAGTCTCTAAGGTGCCACAAGAACTCCTGTTCTTTTTGAAATGATACAAAAACTCATGAAAGGGTTGGCTGTGGTTCAAGGACAAGACAAATATTCAGACTGATTCTTATTTTGCCATGTGGTTTGACCATCCCTAATTGTAATGCACATTTGCGAGGGAGTAGTATTAAAATTAGTATTTTATGTTTATATCAAGATTTTGTTGAATGAATAAAAACATAAATTTTATAAGTATTTCAGAAGTGGGGATGTGATTTGCCCCCTTATTAAAAAAATTCTCAACATCTGAGAACTAATAAAGAATTTAAATTCCAGAATTTGTAATTACCTAATAATCATCTTGAATCAGAAGCCCTCCTTTTAATTTTTGAATCATCCTATGAGAAATAGGACTAACTACAAACAGTATATGTATATTTCTAATTAGATGAAAACAGTGACAAGATGAGCAACACCTAGACCAACAGGGGGGGAAAAATAAACCAAATCAAACTACAAATAACTTTATCACAGGAACTGAATATATTGTAGATCACCAATAGAAAGCTGTTGAGAGAGACAAACTGGACTGCGTAAGTCATGAGAAACCGTGCCCAGTTTGCATAGAAATTAACAGGGGATTGCTAAATTCTTCCATTCTTCTCTTAGTCATCTGAGTAAAAGAAACTTCTCATATTTTTGCCATGTTAAGACATTGATCCAATATATTATTATGAGTTCATTTCCACTTTCCCATGTGTTGAGACAGTTTTCTTTGTAGCTAGATTTGCTCTTAGAAACCTCCCCTTTTTGGGACCCAATTCTACGAAGTGTCAGCTACCCTCAACTCCGTAGACTTTTATGTGGAATGTGTTGGGCAATGTATTTTTGTTGCATTAAGCAAGATTTAATACTAAATATAGTTTAACTAAATATAGTATCTTTTCTATATTTTTGCATAATTTTGTCAGTCTGACAATAAGTGACACATAAGAAAAGACGGGGAAAACTCTATCAGTAAAGTAAGGATAAGAAAAACAATAAATCGTCAAAGTATCCATTGAGAGTCATGGAAAGGGTTCAGAAAAGGGCTACAAGAGTGACTTGATGTTTGGAAACACAGATTAGAAATAAGGCACAATTTTTTTTTTAACAGTGTGGGAAATTAACTATTGAAATAGTTAACTAAGGGTTGTGGTGGAGTCTCTATCACCAGTAATTTTAAAATAAAGATGCTCTAGTTCAACCATAGCTACTGGACCTCAAACAGGAATTAATTCAAGAAAGTCCTAGTCTAACTTTCTGCGTAACACAGGACATAAATCACAATGGTCCCTTCTGGTCTTAAAATCTATATATGAATAACTGCATTAAAATTAGAACTGTTACTGAGTGTTTTTCATTAATCATTAAAATAAAATATATATTTCAAAGATCAGTTGAAAGTAATCTTCCAGTAGAAAAAGTATTTCCATGTTGGTTAGTTTTGTTTTGAAATAACCTTATTAGGAACCAGGCTCTTTAGGCAGGAACTGTCTTTTTGTTCTGCTTTTGTACAGCATCTAGCACAATGAGATTCTGGTCAGTGAATAGGGCTCCTTGGCACTATGCTAATACAACTAATTAATCATAATGTCTGCTATATTTTATATACGTTAAGCATTATGTTTCACTTACGGATTTTTTTTAAATCATGCAACTCCAACATGACTAGTTATGAAAATAAGTTCTATTCCCCTTGCAGTCATTTGGTATTAGTTGTGTGAATAAGGGATGTGGAATTGGTCCACAGTCTTTAACTATGAAATTGCACTTTTAATTTTTAATTTTTTAAATTATTTTTATTATTATAAAAAACTGTTAGTATGCAGAAGTATGAGCCATGTTTGTCAGTGGTCAAATTCTGCCCTCAAATTACTTTTTAAATCCCATTTAAGTTAGCGTTATTGTATGAGAGTACCTGAGGCTGTAAGTGACTGAATACACAAATCAGAGCAGTACGACTTATGCTGCATACTACTTAGTTTGTCTTGGCAGACCTATGTGGAGATCTGACTGTGGGTGGGGTTCCCAGAATCATGCTTCTGTCAAACGTGGATCATATTGCACTCTTGATTTCTGAGCAAAACTCCTATTTACTTTGAGAGTTGCATGAGAGTTGAGGAAGAGGGTCATTGTGTTAGCACTACCTATATATGGGTGTCTTTTCTTTCTTTAGTGACAGAATTCTGATCTCACTTGAAATAAGTGGAATTTCTTCAGACTTACACCAGTGTGATATCGAACTCTGGCCATTAATGGTCTATTATGTTTCATCGCTCTAGCATTTGGGTGCATGACATAACTGAATGCAATTAGATACTAAATCAAACCATTGACAGTATTCTTT